GTCTCCCTGTAGCCCCAGCTGTCCTGGAACTCACTATGTAGACTAGGCTGGCCTTGAACTCACAGAGATCCGCCTGCCTCTGCCACCCGAGTGCTGGGATTAAAGGCGTGCGCTACCACGCCTGGTGATTTTTTGTTTTTCAATGTGTATGAGTGTATTGTTTTTATTTATTATTTTTTACTTTTACATGTATGGTGTATGAGTGTATTGTCTGCATGTACGTAAGTGCACTCGTGTTGTGCAATACCCCTGGAGGTCAGAAGAGGGCATCAGATTCCCCTGGAACTGGAGTTATAGATGGATGTTAGCTGCCATATGGGTGCTGGGAATTGAACCCTGGTCCGCTGTAAGAGCACTTGGGGCTTTTAGCCACAGCCCCTATTTTGTTTTTTTTTTTTTTTTTTTTAGACAGAGTCTAACTGTGTTGCCTTGGCTGTCCTGGAATGTAGCAGGAGGCCTCCAAAGATGGCGCGGACCCAGAGCCCTGGAATTCAGTGAGAATTCCCTTCACTTCTTGGTCCGCAAATAGCCCGCCAAAACTCCATACCCTGCTCTCGAGCCCAGTGACTGCTGACAGACTGAGTGGTGCGGACCAATCAGAAAACGATATGCTGACTAAAGGGACTTGGGGGCAGAGAAAATGGAAATATAAGGCCTGCCCCCTCCTGCATTAAACGAGCCTGCAGCACTAGTGCTTGCTTCTACCTGACTCCCGGGGTCTGTGTGTCGTGACTCCGCACCTCTTGCCCCCCCAATCGGCAGGGGACCCGATCCAGGTCAGGGTCTTCACAGTTGGCCTGAGGAGAACCCGCAACACTGGAATATACAATGTAGACCAGGCTGGCCTCAATCTCACAGAGATCCACCTGCCTCTGCCTCCCTAGTGATGATGTCACTGCAGAGGACTGTTGGCATGTGGCCACAGCAGAGGCCGCCCTGCTCACCTGGGCAGCGCCTGGCCAGAAGCTGGCTTTGATTCCTTCCTGAAACCGCTTCAGTCCCAGCAGGCATGTAGACAGGGACAAAAGAACAGACACATCCCCAGTTCCCAGGGCACCACTGGTCAGCAGAGCTATGACCCCACCTGCCCCACACTCACCGCCACAGCCTTGAGGGACTGCACAATGATCCAGTGGATCTCATCGAACAGCTTGCTGGTGACTTCCCTGCCTCGGGTGCTCTCCAGGTAGAGCCGCAGGTTGTTCACAGTCCACTTGCCACCATGGATGTGGTTATAGTCCTCCTGGTGAGGGAATGGGAGGGTGGGGCTGTCTTCAGGGCTTGCTCTTCTAGCCTTCCAGTGCCTCCTGGGTATGAATAGGCACCCCTAGTAATGCAGAGGGGACCCCTGCCCAGGGGGTCTGCGTCATCTAGTCCATTCATATTTTCAGATGTTCAACTAATAGTCTCATAACTGACCATGTTGTGAGGTGCCACGTGGGTCCCACTTCTGAACTCATTTCCCCAGTGGAGACCCTCCCCAGGGGCTGCTCCAGGTCAACTGGATACATAGTCTGAGACTACATCCCTCCCCTGCGGCAGCGAGTGTCCATCACTAGATGTCAAGGTAGGCCTCTCCCCTCCAGGTCTGCTCTATAGGGCGTCCCAGTTCCACAGCACCACTGGGGTTAGTTGAGGCCTCTGTCATCACCTGGATGTATGTAAGTGCACCTGTGTTATGCAATGCCCACAGAGGTCAGAAGAGGGCATCAGATTCACTGGAACTGGAGTTACAGACAGTTGTTAGCCACCATGTGGGTGCTGGAATTCAAATCCAGGTCCTCTGCAAGAGCAGCCAGTGTTCTTAACCACTGAGCATCTTTCCAGCCCCTGAGTGTTTCATTTTCAAAGTAGGAGAGAACTAGGAGCTAAAACAAACTCAGCCTGATTAGAAACACAGACCAGTGACCCAAAGCCAACTTCATTGAGACATAAAAACACAATTAACTGGGGCCAGAGAGATGGCTCAGCAATTAAGGGCACTGGCTGCACTTACAGAGGACCAGGATTTGATTTCCACATGGCGACTAACAACTGTCCATAACTCCAGTTCCAGGGGGATTTGATGCCCTTTTCTGGTCTCTGTGGATACCAGGCAATCTTGCATCGTACATACGTACATGCAGACAAAATACTTGCACACAAAATTTAAAAATCTTTTTTAAAAAATGGTGATAAGCCGGGCGTGGTGGCGCACGCCTTTAATCCCAGCACTCAGGAGGTGGAGGCAGGCGGATATCTGTGACTTCAAGGCCAGCCTGGTCTACATAGTGAGTTCCAGGACAGCTGGGGCTACAGGGAGACCCTGTCTCAAAAAGACCAAAAAAAAGACAAAAATAATAATAATAATTCAGCAACATTAAAAAAAAATGGTGATATGCACCTGTAATCTGAGCAGTTCGAAGATAGAGACAGGAGAATCAAAAGTTCAAGGTCAGCCTTGGCTACATAGTGAATTTGGGGCCAGCCTAGAATACACTGAATCCTATCCAAGTGAATAAAACAAATAGGGTTGGGGAGACGGCTCAGCAGTTAAGTACTTGCTGCGCAAGAACATGAACTGCATTTCAGGTCCCCAGAGTCCACAGTCCATCTAATTCTAGCCTTGGAAGGTGGGGACGGGATCCCCAGAGCAAGCTGGCTAGCAAGACCAGCCATCCGTACTGGCAAGCTCTGCGTTTGAGTGAGAGACCCTGCTTCAGTGAATAATGTGGAAGAGCAAATGAGGATGACTCCTACTATCAATCTTGGGCCTCCACATACATGTGCACCCATGTGCCCCTACATACACATACATATACACTCATATATACATGAGAAATGGCAACAAAGAAATAATTAAAATCAATAAATAAAAACCTGCTAAAGGTAGGAACCAATGAAATTGTCTTACATATCAGTTTTTGTTTTTATTTATTATTATTATTAATATTTCTTTTTTTCTGACTTTCCGAGACAGGATCTCCCTGTAGTCATAGAGTTGTTATTTTTATTAAATACTTCATGGCCATCAAGGTGGCTCGGTGGGTAAAGGCCCTTAGCCTGATGACCTGACTTCTGTCCGCAGAACACACATGGTGGAAGCAGAGAGGTGACTGTGGAAAGTTTCCCTCTGACCTCCACGTGGGCCATGGCACACAAAAACATGGGCATACACACATATGCGCACATACATACACACAAAATAAAGATATAAAATATAACAAAAAATTTTAAAAAAAAATATGTCAACAGACAAGGCGCCCACGCCGTCAACAGACAAGGCACCCACACCATCAACAGACAAGGCGCCCACACCGTCAACAGACAAGGCGCCCACACCGTCAACAGACAAGGCGCCCACACCGTCAACAGACAAGGCGCCCACACTTTCAATAGACAAGGTGCCTACACTTTCAATAGACAAGGTATCCATGCTTATTCACCTAAAAGGAACCCTCACATGGTTTGGTGTTTGAATCCTTACAAAAGAGCCCTGAGAAGTTGAGGAGGCTGTGTGCACAGGCCCCTTTCTCATTATGTTCACAGGCTCTCTTTACTGTCAGAACGTTGTGTTCTCTATTTTAAAAAATGTTTCATGGCTAGAGTTTCCATTTTCAAAATTTAAAAAAACTCTGGAGATGGATGGTGGTAACAGCCACGCAGTTAGATGAAGGCACCCAATGTCACAGAGCCACACACTTGGAAATAATTAAAATGTGTGCAGGGGCTGGGGAGATGGCTCAGCATGTAGAGCACTGGCTGCTCTTCCAGAAGATCTGAGTTCAGTTCCCAGAATCCATGTGGTGGTGAACAACCATCTATAATTCCAGTTCCAAGAGATCCAACATCCACTTCTGACCTCCATGGGCATTGCATGACACAGGTACACTTACACACATGTAGGCAAACACTCATACAAATAATCTTTTAAAAGAAAATGAAACTTCTAAAAACTTTTTTATTATTGAGCTTTTTAATGAAATAAGAATTTAAAAATGTGTATGCTGATAGTGCCAGCACCTGGAAGGCTGAGGCAAGAGGGTTGTCACGAGTTCCAGGCCAGCCTGGGCTACATGGCAAAAGCATGTCTAAAAACAAACAAACAGCAAAACCAAAACAATAACAACAAAAAATATATAATTTAAAAGAACAAATGAACCAAAAAGAAAACAAGGTTTTCAAGGCATAAAATACACCCAGCAAGACACCACCTCGCACATGTGTGAAAAGCTTGTGTCTCTGGGATTTAGTCACAGGAACTCTGTTTACCATTCACTGCAAAACATTCCATTCTGGGGCTGGAGAGATGGCTCACCGGTTAAGAGCACTGACTGCTCTTGCAGAGGACCCGGGTTTGAGTCCCAGCACCCACATGGCAGCTACGAACCGTCCTTAACTCTAGTTCTAGGGGAATCCAAAGCCCTCTTCTGACCCCCGCGGCATTGCATGACACGGGTGCATTTACATACATGCAGGCAATACACTCACACACATAAAATGAAAAGAAAAAAAAAAACCATCCCAGCAGTCTGCAAGCACCACAGGTCCCAGGCTCAGGCGGCTCTTTGTTCTCTGCCACTCATCACAGACGGAGGCACTTGGGCCTCTGTGATGGCCAGTCCCTGGCCATGCTGCATCCTTTTCTGGCCAGGAGAATGGGCCGCTGCACAGCAGTCCCGGGTTCAGTGTAAAATCTTCATAGAAGGTTCAAGCTGGGGTTTCTAAAAGGAAGTGCCTTGACATTGACATTAAAGAAAAGCACAGCTATCCAGGCGTGGTGGCGCACGCCTTTAATCCCAGAACTTGGGAGGCAGAGGCAGGTGGAGCTCTGTGAGACTGAGGCTAGCCTGGTCTACATAGTGAGTCCCAGGCCAGCTGAGGCTACAGGGAGACCCTCTCTCAAAAAACCAAAAAAAAAACCAGCATGAGGCATTATACGCACACACACACATACACATGCACACATACACAAAAGCTAAAACCAAAAATTATCATGCTCATTGGATTAGCTAGGTGGACTGACTATATTTTCCATCTACAATATTTTCTTCTTTTTTTTTTTTTCGGTCTTTTTGAGACAAGGTCTCCCTGTAGCCCCAGCTGTCCTGGAACTCCCTATGTAGACCAGGCTGGCCTTGAACTCACAGAAATCCACCTGCCTCTGCTTTCTGAGTGCTGAGATTAATGGCATGTGCCACCACGCCAAGCCCATCTATGATGTTTTCAATTTAAGGTAGGTTTAAGCTGAGTCTGGTGGTGCAAGCCTATAATCTTACTACTCAGGATGCCACGGCAGAGGAATCACAAGTTCAAGGTCTGCCTGGGCATGAGTTCAGGGCTAGCCTGGGTAACTTATATGATGTCTCAGAATAAAAAGTAAAAAGAGGCTGGAGGCTGGGGCTACAGCTCGATGGTAGACTGCTTAGCAAGTTCGTGCCAGTGCAGAGGTCCTACGTTCACAACAACCAAAATGAAACCGGTTTATCAGGACAACCTATCACAGGTGAAGGAAGTTTGTAATTCTATGACCTTCTTTTACTAAAAGAGAAATGAGCACTGAACTGACTTGTCCAAGGCCACAGAACTGGAAAGGCAGGGGTTGAACTACAGTCTCTACTCTCCAAGCGCCCCTACCTCTACCTCAGCAGGCCAGCCATACTCCCAGCCCCCTCAACACCTGGGCCTCAGGCCACCGCACACCTGTGAGTATCACTTCCATGACAAGCCCAGTCTTTTCTTGCAAACAGAAAAGAAAGGACTGCACAAAGCCAGCCCCCTTCAGGACACGCAGATGAGGAGACACTCACTCCATGCTTCTGGATGGCCACATTGGTGAGATGGATGAACATGTTGTCCAGCTCGCTGGTGCTCGGTGTGTATTTCACTGTGCAAAATCGGCAGAACCCAAGCTTATACCTAGGAGGAATTCAGACTGAGTCACTGAGGAAGGAAATATACCAGTCTGCTCTCTAAAAAGTACAGCTTTTAGCCTTCAAAGCTTTTGGTTTTACAGACAGGGCTGCACCATGTAGCCCAGGTTAGCCTTGAAATCACAATGTTCCTGTATCTACCTCCTGAGTGCTGAGATTACAGGTATCAGGTATGGGCCACCACACCAAGCTTACTTTGAATGTGCAAAAGAGCAGCATTCTTTTTATTTGGTTTTAGGGACAGAGTCTCACTATGTAGCCCTGGCTGGCCTGGAATTTGCTATGTAGACCAGGCTGGTCTGCAACTCACAGAGATCCCCTGCCTCTGGCCAGCTAAGAGCAGGACTGTTATTTGTAAGACTCCATCAGCTTTGAGGTCAACTGCTCTTACTCTCCCCATACGCACTGTGAGCCAGGCACGTGCAGCCCTCTGTGTTACTGAGTCATTAAACCTGGCAGTGGCACTAAAAACTGGGCCATGCTAGGTTAAAATATGATCTTGAGAGCAAGGCACAGTGGCACAAGTCTTTAATCACAGCACACAGGAAGATAGAGGCAGGTGGATCTCTGTGAGTTTGAGGCCAACCTGGTCTACACAGAAAGTTTCAGGACAGCTAGAGCTATATAGTGAGACCCTGTCTCAAAAACAAAAACAACCAACCAACCATGATCTTCAGAACAGAAGCAAAGCCTTGGGCCTCTTACATGTAGCAGCGCAGCGGGCGGTATGTGGACACCAGGACATACAAGCGCAGGTCAAACTTCCTCCCGCCAATGAGTAATGGGTTATTGATGTAGAGAGAAATCACGTAGGCTTCTTTCGTGGATTGTGAGACAAACCTACACGATCAGGGAAAGTCAAAATTAGATTGTCAAAGGTATCAAAGCAACGGCACAATTCAAAGAAAGGCGTGATCGCTTGCAGGCCACGTCAGCTTTAACTATCAAACTGACAGAACCCAGAGTTTCAAGCCAGCCAGGGCTACATAGTGAGACCCCCCCATCTCTAAATAAATAATAAATAAATAAATAAAAAGTCCATTAAAAAATAATTTGCTGGGCCAGCAAGATGGCTCAGTGGGTAAAGGTGCCACAGAGCCTGATGACTTGAGTTTGAGCCCCAGGACCCACATGGTAGGAGAGAACCAAGTCCTGCAGTTGTGCCATGGCACGCCTATGTTCACACACATACACACAAAATAATAACAAATACAATTAAAAAATTTAAGAAAGAATTTGGTGATAAAGGTGCGTTTAGTCATTGCCAATGAGCTCCCTGCCTTTTTGGATGGAACCAGGGTATCATGGAAGGTATCTCAGTCTCCCTCAGAGGACTGTGCAGGATAGCCCACCCAGGGAGGCTCCGTAGGTCTGACCCCCCTGAGGGCTAGCAAGGTGCAATCAGATTGACACACAACACAACAAGTATCCTCTGCCACCCAGTCATCACCCTGGGAGAGGACCACAATGGGCCCCTTGGCCCTCCAGGCATCGCCAAGCAGCTAAGAACACCTCAAAGGCAAGGGGGAAAGGGCACGCTTGGGGCAAGCTGAACCCCACCTGCCAACTAACCTGCAGCCAGCTCAGGTGCCCCCTCCAGGATGCTCCCGCTCTCCTACACGCTTTACACCATTAACTTGCTCCACTGCAACAGAAGCAATAGTAATACTCCCATTTCCCACAGATACAGACTCTGAGGCACCAAGAACCTAGAACACAGAATATACTCAGCCTGTCAGCGTCCAATTCAGATCTAAACCCAGGAATCCAGAGTCCTGAGTCCCAGTCTTAAGCATGTGCCTCGTGGCTTCAAATTTCTGTACCTGCCTCATACCAGCTCAGAAACCAAGTGGCCTGAAAGATTCCTGCCCACGGCCTACACCACATCCCTCACAGCTTACCATGGGAAAAGTCTACCAGTGATCACAATACCGTAGCCAGACAGCCTGCTAGGAAGTCATGTAACAGATGCACACCGGAGTGTGACCAAGAGTGCAGGACAGCAGGACTCTGCTGAGCAGAACCCCACATGAACAATGGGGTTTTTTCCTAACCAGAACCTCTTATGAAGAACGAGGCTTTTCCACACTTACGAAGACGTCTTGCTGTCCCGAGACCACTTTTTGATCTGTGAGAGCTTATTGATGAGGAAGATGCCCTTTCCCTGGGCTTTGCCACACGGCTTCATGATCCAGGTGCTCGATGGGCTCTTCCTGAACTCCTCCACAAACAGGTTGTAGTCAGCAGGGAGCATGTAGGTGACCGGGACAAAGTCTGAAAGCGGAAGACACCCAGTGCTGTCAGCGGTCACCTGGGGCCAAGAGCCGGAAAGCATCACCATGGTTCAGAGCTTGCCATACCTCTCACTCCAACCCAGAGCCTGGGAAAAGAACGGCTGCGATGGGATGCCTGAGGCTCTAAGGAGGGCCCTTGCTGAGCTCTCTGTGTCAGAACTTTACAAACATGCATCACTTAATTTGTGCAGTCCAGTTTTGATCGCCAGGTGGGCAGGGACACACATCTTCCCTCCAGGGGTAGCTCAGGAGGGTGGTGGCTTTGGACACACCCTGTCTCACACAAAGCTTGGCCCTCTGTGCATCCATGGTCATAGAAACTCAGATTCTAAACCAAGCCCAGCCCTGCCCATCTGGAGACATCTGAATCGAGACAGTTGCCCACAAGGCCTGTCCCACCCTGGTCACCTGGCAAAGCCAGTCACCAGTGCCTTGTACCCCTGAAGTGGTGAACTCAACTACTGAGGCCCCGGGGCCAGCAGAAGCCACCAACCCAGATAGAGGTATTTTCCATTCTCGTCTTTTTCTGCCAGAGGACTCCCCTCCTTCTCCAGCTCCTTTCTATATCTCTTAATGTTCTTCACCATCAGGTCCTTGCGGGTCAGCTCGTAGTGGTTGGGGAAGTGGTTGACGATCTGGTCATCTGAGAGTCGGTACCCAGTTTCCACGCTGAACACATTGCGGATGGTTTGCACGCTCATCCTGCAACAGAGGCGCAGAAGGAGCAGGAGTTCAGGGCCACACCTCAGTGTGCATGGCCTGCACACAGCCCCACCACCTCTGGACAGCTCTTACCTGTTACCGGCAGAGCTTTGGACTGCGGGGGCTGCACACCCAGGGACTGGCTGTGACCAGGCTGGATGTGGGCAGGAACAGTTTGGATTCTCTACCTGGACACTTCCTCAGTAACTGCTCACTGACTAGCTGTCAGGCTAACATTGCTGACAGACCCTTTCAGATGCTGATGTTAGGAAATTCATTTGCACCCAAATTCAGAAAAAGTACCCTAATATGCAAATCAGAGGGGTGACTTGAGGGTCCTGAGTTAGTACATTATTTTCTTAGAGCTTTCACAGGGAAGGGTCAAGAGTAGACAGAGAAATGGATTCATGAGCTGGGCATGGTGGTGCATATCGTTAATCTCAGAACTTGGGAGGCAGAGGCAGGCGGATCTCTATGAGCACCAGGCCAGCTAGGGCTACAGAGAGACTCAGTCTCAAAAAAACAAAAAAGGAGCAAAAAAAAAAAAAAAAAGAGGGAGAGAAAAAAAAAAAAGAG